CCATTAAAAGATTATTAGGCTGCATATAGAGGCACATTGCATTAATCTGGATGAAATGTTTATATAAAGCCAGATCATTCGGAATTCAAAATTTGGCCCTATTAATGGAGTATTTGTCTTTGCTGTTTATGTAAACAGAGTCATCAGACAGAGAGGAAGAGAGAGCTGCGTTCAGGGTGGGTTGATGACAGCCCCTGGCTCTGCATTGCTGACGAAAGCTGCTTAGCTCCTCAGTTGCTATGACAACAAGGGAGTGCAGCCAGACAAAAACGAGGCAAAGGGGAGGGGCTTCCAAGGGAGAAATAGAGGAGAAAGGGCTGGATGGGAAAGATAGAAAGAGGGAGGGATACAGACAGCCGATAAAGAAACACACTGGAGCACCAGAGGTAAAGCAAGGCTACGGACAGAGATAAAGATAACGTCTGGATATAAATGCTCACACCACTGGCTGGGGAATAATAACTGCAGCAAGTGACAGGAGGATACAGAGAAAGGGGGAAACAGAGAGAAGATGGATGTACAAACGGATAACATGGACCCCCCGCCTTGTGAATCCCAGTCGAGTGGAAAAATCAGAAAAGGATTCAAGCTGTTTGGCAAACGCAAGCCAGGTAACATCTTTTCTATTCGAAGCAAAGGGGATGGAAACAACAAGTCACCTGTTAACAGGAGCAAAACCCTAGATGGATTATCGGAGACCACTGCAGCAGATTCAGAGCTGGAGCCAGACAAGGAAAAGGGACATGAGGTGAGTCAAGGAGAGAGGGAACAGGCAGAGGAGGAACAGCTTGGCGAAGATGGCGTTCTAGCTGCCGCCCATGCTCGCACCTCTATTTCTTCGGCAAGCTCAGCCAAGTCCCTCAGCTTCCTGTCATTACTGAGGGGTGGCCGGAGAGGAGTAGGGGACCGCAGAGTCCACACCGTGTCCCAGCCAGTGGGTCGGCAACGTCGTGGGCTGAAGGGTCTCTTTGGCAATGTTATGTTCCGATCAAAGGATAAAGAGGAGAAGGAGGAAGCTCCTCCGAGCCCACTTCTCATGTCGTCCCGTGCCAACAGTGTGGAAATCATCAAAGAGGACCTTACTCTCACCCCCAAATCCCAGCCTCGCTCTCTGGACAGCCCAGAGACTGAGAGTTGTGAGCCCATCAGGAGCTTAACAACACAGGACAGTGCAGCCACGACCCCATCAGAGACTATAACACCCCAGGTGACAGCAGGCAATGTGAGTAGAACTAATGAGCATGTGCCGCCTTTACCCACCTCTGAACCACCCATGGTACCAGGTGATAGTAGCCTGAGCTGCTTGCTGGCAGACATCTCCTCTCTCCTGACCTTTGACTCAATCTCAGGGGGTGGAGACATCATGGCTGATGTGGAGGCAGAGTGGGGAAAAGCCAGCAGTGCCATCAGTGCTGCTGTGACTGAAGTCTCGCCATCATCCACATCTCTTTTCTCCAAACCCACCCCCTCCTTTCCATTGACTTCTACCTTTGTCAGCACGGCTGTTACAGCAAAACCCTCTCCTGTAGCCGTCCCTGCAACAGCCTCGACCAAATCCTTTACCCCTCTGACAAAGACAACGCCATCCTCTTCTCCCATTGCCAAGCCGAGTGCCATCATCACAACGTTGACCAAAACTTCCACTTTGACTACTAACTCAGTCAAACTGATTTCAGACTCTTCTAAAGCCGCTGAGACTTTCACCAGCGTTAAAATTAAATCCTCTCCTACACCTATTGCAGGAAAACCTTCAACTACCCCTGTAACAACAACAAGCCTTTCATCTCCAATAACGTCTTCCTTTTCAGCGACAATTAAATCCACACCAAGTTCCACCTCTGCTACTACCATAGCCCCTCCAAACACCCCGGCCACTGTAGTCAAGGCTCCCTCAGTTAGTCCAACTCTTACCTCTACGGTCAGCAAGTTGGCTTCAGAGACTGCAGCGCCTACTCCAGTGATTCCTCCAGTAAATAAATCTAGCCTTGTAGCTACTGCATCTCCTGTGCCAGCTAAACCTTCACCTGTCACCCATAGCCCTCCCGCCCCAGTAGCTTCTACCCAACCTCCACCTGCCAAATTAGATTCAGCTAGCAATTTGAACCTGCAAACTTTCACTTCCTTCAAACCTTCCCTAAGTTCAGCTGCAGGAGAATCTAAAGCCCCAGTGACAGTATCACCGGCCTGTACCATTACAACCAAACCCTCCTCTTCGCCGGTTATCCTCTCCAAGATGACAACGTTTCCCATATCAACTACAACCTTAAACTCGGCATCTGTGGCAGTTTCGAAGCCTGTACTCACCTCTAGCCCACTGGACTTAAGTAAGACCCCTCCCTTCCTTGTAAATGTTCCACATCTTGGTTCTTCCTCTACCCCAATTGCCACAACTAAAACCCAATCTGTCCCAACTCCATCTTTAACTTCTTCAGATAAGATTCCTCCCACAACTAAACCCTCTCCTGCACCAGTCTCTTTAGACAAGATGCCCCCTACTCCCACGCCAACTTCAGCCTCTACCACTCATGCTGTTGTCTCTACAGCATCCCCAACACCTCCTGCTCTGGGTCAGATCCCAGTGTCTCAAGCTAAAGCCCCTTGTGCTCCTGCGCAAATCAAAATTTCTGTATCTAAAGAGCCCCCTGCCCCTGCTCAGATACCAGTTTCTGCATCTAAATCCCCTCCTGCCCCTGCTCAAATCCCAATTTCTGTGTCTGAAGATCCCCCCACTCCTGCTCAAATTCAAGTTTCTCAATCTAAAACCCCTCCTGCCCCTGCTAAGATCCCAGTTTCTCTAACTAAAGATCCTCCTGCCCCTGTTTGTACCCCAATTTCTGTATCTAAAGAACCTCCCGTTCCAGCTCAGATCCCAGTTTCTGTATCTAAAGATCCTTCTGCTCCTGCTCAGATCCCAGTTTCTGTATCTAAAGATCCTCCTGCTCCTGCTCAGATCCCAGTTTCTATATCTAAAGATCCTCCTGCTCCTGCTCAGATCCCAGTTTCTGTATCTAAAGATCCTCCTGCTCCTGCTCAGATCCCAGTTTCCGTATCTAAAGATCCTCCTGCTCCTGCTCAGATCCCAGTTTCTGTATCTAAAGAACCTCCTACTACTGCTCCGATCCCACTTTCTCAATCTAAAGCCCCTCTTGCACTTACCTCTGCCCCTGCCCATTACCCTATCACTTCTCTTTCTTCTACCCCTGCACTATGCCCAAGTGAAGCCCCAGCCTCTGCTAGGATGAGAGGAAATGGACAGGCATCAGTGGATGGGCAACTGGCAAGTTCAAGTAGCACAGGTTTCCAGGGGGCCCAGACAGTCCCGTCCAAAACAGATGAACTACACAACGAGTCACGAACAAGCCTCCAGGGCCCCTCAAGAGAAAAGAGGACAACACAAATAAAGGCATCAGGACTTAGCAAAATACCTGTAGTTGGAGGGGGGAGAGTAGGTAAGCTACCTGTCCGGGAGAGTCAACATGTTGATGATGAAGCAAGCAGGGACCCACCTACCCCTGTGCTAGAAGAAGAGAGGCCCCATTTCAACTCACATGATGCAGGGAGCAAAGATAAAATCAGTGATGTTGGAGCAATTGTGCCCATCTCAAAACACACCCAGGAGGAGAGTCAGCAGCCTCCCCAGCCGAAAGTTCTCACCAGTTTACCGCGTGACTCTAAGATCCCTGTGAAGCATGGCGCACAGTCTCACACTGCCTCTCAAATCCCTCAAGCAAAAGAACCCCCTCGCACCAAGATACCCGTGTCCAAGGTTCCTGTCCGCAGGGTTGGTAATAAACCTGCAGCTATGGGTGGCAGCACACAGATAAGAAAATGAAACAATAGACTGATCAATCAACAATACAGATTATGGCTTTGACTGCATTTTTTTTCCAATATAACTACATGGCCACTCTTTTTTAATTCATATTTCTATACTGTAACTGTCTTGGCGTGTCTCTCTGTCATCTCTTGGCTTCACTACATCATAAGTAACAGTAACAGAGTCAAGGAGGCTGACAACACTCAAGCACAAAACATCTCCACGGGGAGCCAAAGCAAAAAGCCTGGCTCTTTGGTGCTGAGCCAACTGGACATGCACTCAGGAAAGGTTCAGGGTCACACCTGAACACACAGCAGCATCGGTAACTAAGGATAAGCAAGATTAAAGGTCTTCTGGGAACACAGTCACACACACTATATGGGCGAGTGCCTTTTTAAGGGTGCTTTTCCTACAGACTCTCAGAATTTGTTCAGTCTTTTCTACAGTACTTTTAACTTTTGTTACTCCCACTTTTTGTAGAAATTGTCAAATCTTTTTTGTCTTTCTTTCCAGCAAGTCTCTTTGATAATAACCAGTCCCTTTACGTTTTTATTTATGTCAGGAGAAGAACTGCAGGAGCTCTATAAATTAATGCAAAACAACCAAATTTACATTCCACACCTATTTCTGGATGTATGTAGCAGAAAACGTGCCATTCATTTTTGCACAAGATGTTGAACTGTACAGCGCCTGTGTGTCCGCCTGCTCATATGTAACATGATCTGATCTCACTGTGAACTATGGGAGAGACTGGTTTTAAGGGAGGAATGGAAATAACTCCTTCCAATGAAATGGACAGTGGGCAGCAGCCATTATGAATGGCACTGTGGACATTTGAACGAGACAGAGGATGCTGAGATGAGATCTCCAGCTCGTACACTGGCATATCTTTATCCTTACCCCACCAGATGAGAACAATATCCATGTATAGTCTCATCTATGTTGTTATGTTTCCTATTTAATCAATAAAACAATATAAGTAATTAGCAAGATGAGATCTGTTTAAGTTGTCAAATGTATTATCGTATTATGTATTATTATTATTATAAATGTTTATCTACTTTTCCAGATAAGAAATGTAAGCACATACAGTATAAAGGGATTTACTGGCTCTGTATTAGGAATACATCATCTTTTGAGTTAATCTTATGTAGAAGGAAAATTACATAACTCTGTCATCTAGCTAAAGCTACAGATCATAGTAAAGAGAAATGTCAAACATTTTATATTTTTACTGACAAATCCTCACAGTGGCTCACCATCTTACTACAGCCGGTGCTCAGAGTGTCCTCATAGGAACACGATTCCAACATTATCCACACTCAAAGCTCACTGACCTGAATAGCGAGCACATGAATGTCAGCAGAGCCTGGCCAATCAGCTGCAAGGGAAAATGCTTAACATGCATACCTTATTATCAGGAAAAGGGTTTGGAAATGTGTGTCATTGCTATTCTTAGTGTGAAATGCACTAATGCATCTGCTGAATAACAACCCCCAGACTGAGTGGATCACTTGATTTGGACGTTTAGTATCAGTTTGATATCATTGCGGAAAAGAACAAAATGCAGATCATTATTTGAACACAAAAGGTTGAGTGAACTATAAAAACTACTTACAATGCTACACAAAGGCAGTAAATGCAAGAAAAAAAACACTGAAAAGCAACTCTAACAACTATTAGTGGTGTGACTAAAAGCTCAGGTTAAGGATGGGAAGTTGATCTGAGTCATGGGGCAATGTTTAGAGGAGTCTGGTGTTAGGAATAAGGAGTAAAGGACAAAGGGTGAATTTTTTTTTACAAAAAAAGCATCGTGGATGTGACACAAAAAGACCTCTGTTTACTTTACGCAAGCCAGAGGCTGCAAGCTGAGAAGAGAGAACCATCATTTGCCTGAGAAAAACACGAGGATTTCACCACATCAGGTGCCGATGCAGACTACAGAGGGTAAAAGTATCTCCCCGAGAAAAAGAACAGTTTCCCCCTGAGGCTTAGACATAACACAGGTTTGCTTCTTGCTAACACCTGCAATTTAGGATTAAAATGTTTAAAAAATGGCTTAAACAGCATGTAGATTTATAACCACGGATGTTAGAGCAGAGATCAGACTGCTTATGAGGACTCATATTGTGCCACAGTGTGAAAAATTACATTATGCTCTCCATTAGAGGAAACCGCTGGTGTGAATATGATTCCCACAGTTTCAGAGAGGAAACTGAAACAGGCATATTCACTGAATGCTGCCTTTTGTCAGCATTCATTCACATGATTTCCCAGCAGTGTGGCTTTCATGCTTATACTGTAAGTAATAATGACAACAGCCTTAAGTGAAGTACAACCAGGGAACATGCAGGAATAAACTTTTGAGCTATTGCATAAGCTGTCTGAGTACCTTTGTTTATAGGTTGTTTGTGTACCTTTAAGACTAGCCCCTTCCCCTAAATATGTTATACAAATTAACAGCACCCATAATGCACTGAGGCCACCCTGGCTTTCTATGATCTGTATGTTTGTGTCTGCTTCTGCCTCTGGAGAGACGATGTGCCTCTTTAGAACCTAATTTAGCATGCTTCATTCTGTGTTTCCATGCCAACCCCACTAGGTCAACCAATGAAAGGCAGAAGGAGGAGTTTAAAAACACAAGTGCCTTAATGAGCACACGCACAGTATACATGCTAATTAGATCAGTTATTACTTCTGACACCATTTTAAATGGAATTATTGCGTTATAACAGTGTAGTGTATCATAACAATGCTTCACTGTACTTTTTGCATTGACCTGAGCTAAGCCAGTCAAGCAGAAAAACAAATAAACAATGCTGAATTGTATGTCTGTTGATGAAGTGAAACCCAGCAGAAGACACCCATCCTACACACCTACACAATGTGATTTATTAAATATACTGTCAAAAAGCTAAAAAATGTGGTGAGTTGTGGCTGCACCACACTAAGCAGTACTGTAGATAGTGTTACATTCCCAGAAAATCTTGTTTTTGAGTTTCTGAGACATTTCAGACATGTGTCAAATATACTGGGAACTGGTGAATTGGCACAAAATGCCATAGTAATGGTAGCATAGACTCTCATAAAGGCTATTATAGGATATACAAAAGGAAGACTCCTTTAAGAGGTTTGAGTCTAGTTACACTGCACTACAGGGGCATTATGCAGCCATATATAATAAGGCCATAGACTCCCAAGGTGATACATTACATAACAGTGTCAAAACAATGCTATGGTACTCAATATCCACGGGAAAACACATCATCTTGACATGTTGGGATTCATAAAGCTTCTTTTCAGTGCTTCAACATACAAAGCAAAACACAAGAGTCCATTTATCCCACAGTATTTAACATGAGCAGGTTTTTACAGCCTGTGAAACATAATGTTCAACAGACAAAGTTACTATAACATTTCACAAATAAGCGTCACCATCCAAATTATTTATTCTTATTCATACTGAAACATGACAAATGTCAATTATAAAAACATGTAGCATAGTTTTGACTAAAATTACCATCAGTCGTACATAAAATATAAAATACTAAATTTTTTTGAAATATATATAAAAGCAGCCATTTGTTTGGTTTCAAGGCTTGTGTCTCATACAGATGACAGGCTGTGGATGAGATGTTAACATGACAGATATCTCTGTTCACTGAGAAGCATCCAGCAAAGGCAACAGCTCATCTGCAACACTGTCAGCCCTGCAGGCTGATCTGCAGTCTGTAAACCAACAGCTGGTCACTTGGTATTAAAGTGATCATTCATTATCAAATACAGTCAGACTGCAAATAGTCAAAGAATATACATATCAAATATATTGATTTTATAAAATGATAAAAATCACTGTGTTCAAGATCATAATAATGATTTATGTTTTGCCTCCAAAAAAAAGCTAATCTTAAGCTTATGCTTATTAATGCACATATTTATAGATATATATATATATAGCATTGGAAAATATGGATCATTGACGCTCCAATGTCCAAGTGATGCTTCAGGAACTGCTCATTTAGTTAAGTGAGTATGGGCCAGCCAGCCAGAGAATTACGTCATTACAGTGCAATAACTCTGCACTGAGGACCTCTGCTGGTGAAAAAACAAAACGAAATGCCAAGGAAAATGTGGGTGACGCAGTACATATAGCATCACTACTGCACAACATGGCCTTATCATATCAGGCCTCCAGCTACTACTATAGATAGAGGGAGATAGCTGCACAGTGCCATGAAACACACTACCAATGTGATTTGGGCAAATGTTACTACTTTTATGAGTAGCATATTTGCTAAAAATACACAACAATAAAATGTAAAAAGTGCCTCTAATCATCTCTCTTTCATGAATGAAGTAAACCCCAAATTAGAACTCACAGGAATGAAAGCTGATGCAAGGAGAGAGATATGTATCTGATTTGAAGAAATACTGATGGTGGACATTCAGCCTTGCTTTAAATAAAACCAGGTTAGGCTGATGGTCTGGCAGCAGCAATCAAAATGCTCGAGTTAACTATGTAAAATAATACTTACACTAATTAAATTTGATTATTAGTGTCAATATAGAAATAATAAATCTGAGTTAAAATAAAAATGTGCATTCTTGCAACCACAGATACGGAGCAGATGATCTGTGAAAAGATCAGCAAGAAGTTGTGACCCTCTGATTCAGGCATTCAGACATACAAAGGAAAATACATTTGAGTTTGACTAAGATATACTGTAGAATAAAAACACTGAAAAGGTGGAGTCCAACCACAAGTAAAGAGGAGGGAAGACAAAGAAGAAGGCAAAGAAACAGAGGTGGACCTACAACTTAAATATTGGATACGTACATTACAAAATGCTGCAGTTTATAGAAAGCTGTTAGACAGATCTGTTATAGTGAAGCACAATCAGTGTGTACCACGGTTTAGAAATGTAGCAGATGTTGGGTTTCTGATCATTTAGAAGCTTCCCTGATCCCTGAAGTTTTGTCTGAACAAAAGCCAAACATAACAGGGAGAATATGAGACAAGCAGAGATTTTATAAAAGGAGGGAGAAAGTTGGAAAAAGTGAAAAGTAACATTTAGTGATGCTTCAGCCAATCACGGTACATAAACAAAATAAAAAAAAACCTAAATAGCTTAATTATTAAACTGGTATATCAATTAATTTGATCTGTTACACATAATTGCATAATAAAGTGTGCTTTTAAGCATGAGTAGTAGGCTACAAATACTACAAGTGTAAACAGAATTTCATTTTTTGTTGACCTGATGAACATCCAATCTCAGTTCTACACAACGCTGTTGTTTGCTGCTGACACAAGCAGAGTGCAGAGGGACTGTCTCATGTGTCACAATGTTTACCAAAGAAATCTAGTGGCGTGTACCCTGATCTGTTGGGATCAGTTACACCATGAAATGCATGTGTCCTTCAGCGCCCGTAACCATAACATCCATCCAGATACGCATGGCCTCAGGCGACGGAGCCACCATGTAGTACACCCGATCGTGGGTCTTCACACTGAAGGTCAGCGAGGGGTTGGGGCTCTCGGGTGTGGAAGGGAATGTAATTTTGAGAAACAAAATTGAAATAATGGAGAGTAGAAGGGAGAGGGGAGAGGTTGTGCATATGTGTGGGAGGGAGAAATGAAGGGAGAAAAGCAGAGAAAAAACAGATGTCAACAATATTCAGAGAAAATGATGTGTAGATGTTGCCACATGCTAAAAATCACAGACACGTGCACATGAACTGACTTACTTTGTGTGCATTCTTTAAATGGTCATAGTACACCTCCTCTATGGCTTGAAAGTAAATGACTCCTTTCATCTTGGTCTCATGTTTGTCTGCAGCAGATAATATAAACAGAACAGTTTATGGACCACTAACACTTTGATCAAAGCTCGTTCTCAGCATCCAAACTATTCTGATATGGTTGCAGTAACTTCGTCTCACATTTTCAACAGAGAATTGAGAGGAAGAGTTACTAACCTGCATAGTAGGTGAGCGTCCTGCGATTCTGGTCGAAGACAAACCAGCGTTTCTTCCAGGTCTTGATCTTTCCGCCCATTTTGACCAGAAAGCCTCGACAGGTTTTATCAGTGATGGCCAGATGGAAGCAGGCATCTGGGTTGTGTCCAGCTGCCTCAATATGGCCGTGAAGATCAAAGTCGTCTTTCCTTACAGGGAGGTAGCGAGTCAACAGCCGGGACTATGGAAAAAGCATTGAAATTACATGACAGATGTGAATATTGGGCACTACTTTGTTCAAGAAGTATTTACATGAAGCAAAAAAACCCCATCAGATTTGAACCTCTTGTTATTCTAAATACCTGTGATCTTTGTTTCTCCCTGAGTTTCACTTCTCTCTCCACAAGTCTCTGTCTCCTGCTCGTCTCCTCCTGCAGTCGTTTTTCCAGTTCCTCCCGTCTTCTTCGCTCCTCCTCCAGAGCCTGCCTGCGCATCTCCATCTCGCGCTCCTGCACATGCCACATAGAGTAAATTGCATTCATCATCAAACACACACATCCACATGTACGGTGAGTATGGGTTAGGTTTGACATGTTACCCGATGCTCCAGGAGCCTCTGCTTCTCAACCTGGGCCTCTCGGAGTAACCGCTCCATCTCCTCAATCTTTGCCATATTGGACGTACTGGCACTGATGAAAAATGGAAAACACAAGTTGTCAAACACAAGAAGAACCAGATTTCTCTGATAAAGGAGGAAGACACTCATATAGTGTAAGCTAAAACAAAAAAAAACAATCTAGGTGATGAAAAACAATTGGGCCATGCAAACGATCTCAACTCATTTGTATATATACCTACCTAAAATGATTGGAGATAAGTTATTTTTTTATTATTATTTTTACTAATTTATCTTATTGTATTTTCTTTTGTAAATTTCATTAAATTATTTTCAATATACTTTTTTATTGTTATCATAGTAAGTATAGTTATTTCTGCCTGTTTTCTTAAATTATTTTATTTGTTTTTAGTATAACTTGTATTAAATACTATCGTTGTATTTTATTGTCATTTTTATCAATACATTTTATTTTTAAATCTACCTTATTTAATGTTTACTCCATTCTGTCTGATTGTAGTCTTGTCAATCGTCTGTAAAGCACTTTTAACTGCGCTAAAATGTACGCTATACAAATAAAGTTTCAGTAGTTGATTGATTGATTGATGGATTGATTGATTGATATAGGTGAATTTAGTTTTCAGTTTTTTGTTTAAATTTGCAAAAGAGGGTGACTATAATGACACCATGCGGTGGGACCTCCCTGATAACAAACCACCCTCTATAAACATGACAAACTGCCAGCGCTGCCATCGCCATGAACACCATTACAAAGGCTGTGACTGAATTTGCTAATGTGTATGAGCGTGTAAGAACAGCTAGATATCATGTGGATATTACTGTCTCTGATCTAACACAGAACATCACAGCCTCTTCAAAAGCACTTCCTCTTTCTGCTTGATGTTCAAAATATCTCTCCTCAACATATTATAAAGCCTTTTGGCTCCAACTTCTTTTCTAAAAATACAACATATTCACACATATTCTCTTTTCAAAGTAACCTTTCATCTGTACATCTCTAACCTGGAGATGTTGTCTGGGGAGCAGGCAGAGAAGCTGGTCTCCAGGCTGTCAGAGCTGTCCACGCTGACGGTATCTGAGGCCTGACTGTTGTCCGGGTAGGTGAAGGAGTCCAAGTACACATTGGGGTCAGAGACCATCCTGCTGCAGAAATCACTTCTTCTCTGTCTGTCTTCATTCATGTGTGCATGGCTGTTGCTTGCTGACAGAAGAGAATATCACGGTAACAAAGTGGAAATTCTCTCAGCATGCATGATCTAATGATAAAGTTGGTCAAACATTAGATCAGGCAGATAACAGCAACAGAGTTGCACTTCATTAACTAGTTGGCCAAGTGGGACATCTTGTGATCATAATTTTATGAAAACTGTTTACAGCAACCAGGCCAAGTTAAAACAGAAGTGAGCATTGTACTATTGAGCTTAAATTTTGCAGTTGCATTCTCAATCTTCAAAACAATCAATCATCACCGTTTGCATAAAATGTGATTTTCTTTGTTTGTTCCCTTGTTTGTAAACTCAGCTATTAGCTAGCTATCAGCTAGCTCTATTACATGTCTGTCCATTCTGGGAGAAGGATCCTTCCTCTGTGGCTCCTCTGTAAGCTCCTAATATTTTTTCCTTGTTAAACAGTTTTTGGGGGGAGTTTTACCCAAATCAGGGATTGAATGTTGTACAAATTGTAAATCCCCATGAGGCAAATTGTGATTTGTGATTTTGGGCTATATATATAAAATTTGACCTGACTTGACAAAATACTTTATGAATACATATAAAAAACGATATGGCTGTTATAAACATTGTTCCATTCAAATGCTGCAGTATTTAACACCATGCTTTTCTTGAGTGATACATTCTGGCAAGATTTAATCTTCAAACTGGTTTCTCAAAACCTCCTTACACATATCTACTGAATTATACATTGTTTACATTCCAAAGGATTACATGTAGTGCCATTACTTTGTATGTGGTATTAGTTTTTAGCAAGCTGCCCAAACAACTTTTGCCTCAAAATCACAAATTCCTATCTAGTATAATGTAGAGTACTCCTGTTAAAGGTCCAGTGTATAACATTTAGGAGGATCTATTGGCAGAAATTGAATTTAATAGTCATAGGCATATTTAGTAGTTAGTTAGTTAGTTAGTTAGTTAGTATAATGACATGAATATAGGAGTCGCTGTGTTTCTGTTACCTTAGAATTAGACATTTTTGCCATGTTAAACCGCCATGTTTCTACAGTAGTCCAGGACGGACAAACCAAACACTGGCTCTAGATACTAGGTTTCTAGGTCTCCTACACACTTCACAGCCCATTCTTATTCCCAGTTCGTCAAATACAGGCGCAAGCGGTGTTCAGGTAGTTGCAATCTGAAACTTCACCACTAGATGCCACTAAATTCCACACACTGGTCCTTTAAGACTAACATTTAGTCTTTGATATCAGATTTGGACTCAATGTGGTTTCCTCTGTGCATCACAACAGCATTTCCTGTCCTAACACATGCACATGTGTAACGCCTGAGGTTTAAAGCCAGTCACGCACAGAAAAGACACACAAGATGCACACAATCTGTTACTCACTCTTGGGAAGTCGGCGGGTGTTCAGGTCCCGGGGAGAGAAGCTGAAGCCTTGTGGGATGACGCTGCCACAGCTGGAGCTTTGGGACAGAGGCAGGTGGGCCTTGAGGAGGAAGCAGAAGCACACATGCTGTTCAGGACTGGGCTCTACAATCTTCACACAGCTACAAGATTTAGCTCATTTGCAAAGTACTTCATGGACTGGATGGGTGTTCCTGTTTGGGTGGATCATTCACTGGGGACAAAAAGTTCTGGATACATGTAATCAGGGCAATGAAATCCCCTTTTCTGCAGTCCAGAATCAGAATATTATTTTGAAACTGTTCTTCCAAACCAATTTTATTAAAATATCTCAAGATCTAGCTTTCAGAATCTGGGTTATTCTTGCTGTTAAGGCTCTACTGTAGTATTATAGTGTGTTTTAAATAAGATAAATAGTTCTTTTTATCAGATTTGAAACATCCAGTTTGATCTCACTGTGTCCAACCTTTAATGTCTGCTGTGATCAAAAAACAAACAGTAATGACCTTTGGAGGAAGCGTGCGTCCCAAGGATCTGCCGTAAGAGTTGAGGAGCTGCTGGCTCCTCTTATGAGGTAGGCTGTCACTCGGGTGGGAAGAGTTTTCTTTGCTACTTCTTCTCCTTTCCTTCAGAGAGTGCAAGTGCTGCAGTGATCACAGAAATCAGAGGAATCACAAAGGATAGAAATAACAGGACTTCACAGCAGAGACATTGAAACTTTGGTTTTTAACTGTGTGAGATACTTTGTTAAAATCCAGAGGAGCACTCTGCTGGTGGAAATATTAAGTATTATTGTAACTGTAACCGACACTCACCTCTGTGACAGCTACAGGGTTGTTAGTGAAGGTCTGCCCCTCAGACAACTCTGCATACTTTCCTTCTAAAGATGCCAGTTTCTCTCTCTCCTGCAGACATTGATAGGATGTTCAAGTAAATACAATACAATACAATTATTTACAATATCAGTATGTAGTAAGATTGTTCTTACCTTCTGGAGCATGATGAGCAAGTTGTTTTTCTCTCTCTGGAAATTCTCTCTTTCTTGCTGAGCCTGTAAGGTAATCTGCGTGGACTGTTTTTTGAGCGTCATGAGTCTTTCCTATGACAAGAAAACAGCACAAACTCACTAGACAATATCCTGCAATTTTAATATGAAGCAAAGTAATGCTGTCACGTTAGCAGAGGTGTTTCATTATGAAGCAGTAGCAGAGTGAACAGGAGCTAATTCTCATTTTGAGATGGGAAAATGTAATTTGGTTTGCCTACAACTAAATCTTCTTTACACATTAATCTAATATCCTCACCCTGTTTCTGTCTCTCTCTCTGTGACTTTGCCCTCGAATGAAAAAATCAATTAATCTCTCCATCTTTCTATTTCTATCTTTCCATTACTATGCAAGTAGTATTTAATGCTTACCATTGCTGGTATTGTTGTTTCTTCTAATTAGATCATGCTCTGAGCTGCAAATCTCACAATTTTGCAGCTTTATTTTCATGCACAACCTGTAGTAAGATTAATGACAAACCACAATGTAGTAACTGAAAAAGCCCCCAAAAAACAAAAAAAAAAGTAACATAGAAGTAAGTACTGACAAGAAGTCTACCTCTTAAATGAGAATAGTAATATTTCTGTGGGACTGTTACTGAAACCTGAAAGTGAGAGAATGAGCCTGAGCTTCTGGGACGTCCGTTGGTATGAACATGCACTGAAAACTCCAGACTAATACCAAAGATCTACTTTATATAAATCATTAAAAAGAACACATCTTGTTCAGATCAGGTCAAAAGGTGTGTTATGTTATTATGCTCCAAAAATACATACAGTAGTAACTATACTGTACATATTTCTGGCTAAACAATTAAAAGTTATGCGGTGGCAGCACTACCTGCGGTGTTAAACATGCACTATATGCTACATGCACACTCACAAAACCTCACTTGCTGTACCTTGCGTGTAACAGTAAGACGCTGACACTCTGCGATCTCCCGCAGCAGCTCTTGACTCTGATTCTCCTTTTCCTCGCCCTGATTAATTTCTCTCTCCAGCTTCTGAAACTCCAAATCCTCTAAACTTTTTGTCTGCTCGTCAGCCTCCTGAGAAACAGGACACACACACACACACAATACCCCTAAATGTAAGGTACAATTACACACACAAAGACACTGTTGCAGAATTGGCTCTACTTTAGCAGTAATAATTTTATGCCTTTCCATGTGATGTCAGGTTTCAGGTCATTTTAGTTTTCCACCAAATTAGAACCAGATGCACTAACAATGTTTTTTGCACATGGTAACTATTTGGTCCCCCTTCCCAAATGTGGGCCTAAGGTGTACCATGTCCGAAACAGAAGTTGTGAATGACAAGAAGTAAAAGAAGGGAACCAGGATTACAGAGAACAAGGTCAAGATTCGCAAAAAGATACAAATTGGGGAGAAAAGAAAAAATAGTTTGCACAGGTGAAACATGAGAACTGAGGTCTTTGGTTTCCTGTGAGTCTTGGCACTCACTGCTAACATGAACTAATTCTGAAGAATAGATAGAGCTAACAGAGACTCAACATTGTTGTATTACTTTGTTTGGAGAAGTCTTTCAGCTCATTTAAATAGCTTTAGGTGAGAATCTTTTAAAAGGCCTTTCAGGGCCTCTTGGTCTAGTGAAAGAATTTCTTCTTGTAAACATAATTTCTTTGTTTGGTTTTAAAGGAAATATAAATGAACCCCTTTTAGAGAAAGCTGTGGTTGAACTAAACTGGTCCCTGTGATTTACCTGTGACTTCTCAGTGTGGCTCTTCTTCTCACTACTGTGAATCTTTTCCTTAAGTTGGTCCAGAAGTTCCTTGTCCCTCTGCAGCTGAGCCATCTCCGACTCCTGTTCCCCGTCCAGCAGAGCACACTCCACCTCCATCTGGAAACAGAAGCAAAGTAAAAAAAAAAACATCTTTAGAAACGTACTGTCAACTAAAAACAAACTGAATTAAGTAGATAATGAGACAGAGGAGACAAAAGAGCACAGTGGCACTACAGCTGAAAAATAAAAAGTAATGCACAACTATAATGCACGATTTGTGATGGCTGCCTCGATCTGTAACACCACTGAACGTTAAGCAGCTCATTTTATCAGCTTTGCTGGGAGGATAAACTACTGCACTTTGACACTAGATAAGAACAAACACTATCAGCTGCTCAGGTGTCAGTTGTGTTTATATACTGCATTGTGCTGTCTACCTCTCTGACAGACTCCTCCATCTGGTTGTCCAGGTCTTTGATCTTCTGTTCCAGCTCTTCTATGTTGTTCAGGACTTGAATTCTCTCTTCCTCTATATGCGTTACTTCCTGTTTCAGCTGCACACCCTCCAAAGCCTGTAGTGACATCAGGAATGCATATAAATGTTTGGCTCCATAGGAGAGAAATCTTGTGAATACACACATACAATTAAACACTCATGCATACCGTAATAAATTAAGAAATGCACAAATGCTGCACAAAAATCCCCATTATAAAGTTTATTGGTAGTAACTTCTCTTGGTGATTGCATATTCAAAGTTTCAGAGGTTTTATAACACATACAGTATGTTCTTAAACTAATTTGCCAACCAGTAGAATCAGTTTTTCTGAATTAGACGACAGCTGCTGTTTTAACTCTTCCAAAGCTGGATCACTGACAACAGGATTCTTTTCCAGTTGGTGTAATGGAAATCTCTATCAGTGCGTTCCACTGCCAGTCATGCCAAAGTACTCCCACATCTTTAAACATCTACCAACATCCTACAAACATTCACGCATACTCCTGTGTGGGTGCATTTAAGAGATCCTGCATTAACAGGTAGGTAGGTATTCTTCCATTTTGGAGTCAGGAGGATTGTTTTTGTGGCCAAAGCCTCATGTGGCCAGCAGCTCTAGGATTTATAGTTTCCCAGGCGGGCAGTGAACGCTCTTTCTTCCTGTACAGACTGCTCTGAGGAATGCAAGAGATGGAAGAGTGTATTTGAAGTCCGTAAAAAATGTCACAAGTGACACATTGCAGACATGATGGTCCCAACTTGGAAATCTAATTTTTCTAAACTCTAGGTGTGTTTTAAAAGTGCCTGTTTCACATAAAAAACATTGCTTGATTACCTGTGTCCATGTGTTAACTACTTTTTTATTTTCACAATGTCTTTCCATCCATTTAGCCTTCGTATGAAGTTCTAAACATCTGGAAAAACACATGCCTTTGCCATGCATATACACTAGAATTCTTCCACTCACACACACCCACAGTTGTGCATGCGTGCATACACACACACACACACGCACACTAATTCTCCGTGGGATAAAGTCATTTCCTGCCCACCCTACCCCCCCTCCTTGAACAGTTTGAATGGCTGAGTGCTGAAACAAAACTAGGGCTTCTTCATTAAAACCAGACACACCACTAGGTTGTTACTGGAAAACTGGGAAAAAAGCGACACTTTTACAGAGACAGTAAATCAGTGACACTAGGACGAAGACGGTGAAGGGGGTAGCCTGCCTTGGAGCTAAAATCACAGTATTTGATGAATTTATATTTGCAAATTGAACTTGATCATTCATTTTTTAGCATGTCTTCCCATTTTGACCCATTCAGTTGTCTCTCATCATAAAGTTGATGAGAGAAAAGATGAGGTCAAATCAGTAACATCAAAGCTGTGAGGAGAGCTTGTGTAACTGTGATTTCCCTGTTTATGAGTCTGAACAACTCGCATAAACAGGAAATGTACAAACTGCCAACTGCACGCACATACAGCACTTCTGACTAAAAGCTCAATGATGTTGAGGAATCTACCTACCATCAAACACACACAAACTATAAGCAACTGCGATGGATGTCAGCATATGACTCATTCTGCACAAGAGCTTCAGGACACACATGTTTGCACTTTTCATCCAAATCCAGTTTGAACCAAATAAAAGGCAAGATTTGTCATAGTGTGTATGATGATCACATTTTTTATGCCCTTCAGCCCTGCTGGTTGTTTCTAAAGCCTAGCAGATATCTTCAACATCATTTTATTTGCATTTCCCACATAATTCAGTTGTTCTGTGGAAATGTGGAAAGGGAAATGGAAAGCATTTACGCTGATATTATAGTAAAAAACAAACAAACAAAGATCAACAAGCTATCAGGAGTCTGATAAACTGCATTCCACATGAGGGGTGTGTCCCATTAGTCTTGACTACAGCTTGGTCCTCTCTTGCTCACTTTATAGCTGAAAGAATAAAGGATGGGAGGAAAGCAGACAGGAGAAGAAGATGTGGTTCAACAGCAGAGATATACATTTCATTTTTTACACCTGTGCTATTCCCTACTACCAGCAATATTAAAACGGTGCTTTTTAAGAGAGATACTTTAGATATGTTTCATATTAACAGTAATTCATATAATACCACTAATGTAAAATATGCCGCTTGCAGTGATCAGCCAGTGTGCATTGTGTTAATGTAACTAAATCTCTATTTTGGTTTACTCTCGGCAAGCAGTAATAACACAGAGTAGAAATACTCAGTTACATTTCAGAATAATATTATATAATTTAATTTTAATTACCGAAACATTATGTGTTCATCATTTCATTGTTTCAGCTGGTAAATGTGGAGATGGTTTTAACTACTTTATATACTGCTGGGTATTTTATTTTTCATGTAACATCCCGTAAGTGTTTTTGGTCATCTATATTTAGTTAGGGTTGAAATTCTAACTACGGTAATGAAATCAACTTACATAATACCAGAGGATAAAACATGCAGACCACCTAAAAAAAACATCCTTTCTGTCGTTTTTATGTGTGATTGTGATTGTGTGATTTAGGATTTTCAGTTGTATAAATAATATTGAGCCCACTTGACACAATGACCCATTTATAACAAAATCCTTCCCATAATTGAATTTTAAACATTTATTTTGAATTACTCAATACTCCATTATTGTAAGCCAAACTTACTTTGGGTCTGTGGTGGGAGGAGGGTGAGGGAGCACTGCTGTTGAGGCTAATAGCAGGTGAGTGGGACCTGGCCTCCCTGTAGCTGCTCTGCTGGCGCTGGCCGACCTGCTGCTCCTCAGCCAGCTGGAAGTCTCTGACTTTGCCCCCGAAGCAGCTTTCTGGAGCAGTGCTGCCGGGGGAGTCAGAGAACACCGACTCATCGTCTGACACCTGCAGCTTCTCCAGCTCCTTATTGATCTTCTGCAGGTCAGACACAGCTGAGCCCGCTGGCTCTCTCTCCACATGGCCCAGCTCAGTGCACATGTTTAAGATGGTCTCTAGACGCTGGCACTCCTGTAGACAGATGATCCATACATTATTTTACCGTGTTTGAGTTATTTTCATGTTTTTTAACCAAGTAGTATAAAAGTGGACGAATCAGGTTCAAAGAGAAACTCACCAATCTCTGCACTTTCTGCTCCCTGAGTCGTTCATCTCTCTGGTGTTGGTGATAGTCTCTCAGCTCCTCTTTGCCATTTAAAGAGCTGATGCTGCCCACCCTCTGTCCCGGACCCAGTCCACCCTTCCCAAATGATAACCTCCTCTCTCCAAAGCCCAGATCTAAGCCAGTCCCATCCATTTCTATCCCCAGAGAGCTCAGAGAGGCCAGGCTGGCCCTCCTGGGAGTGCTGGGCATGCTGGCTGGTACTGTCACATCTGGGGGCTGCTCTAGGGAGGACAGACTGCGCCGCGGCCCTGCTGAACCCACTCCTCTGTGGGAACCCACTGAGTGACGGGATGGTAGCGACAGAGCAGGGGGGTCTGTTGCGTTGTGAAGCCGTGGCAGAGAGCGGCTGTGCATGCCCAGGCTGTTGAGGGAGCCAGTGGAGTATTTCCTTTGCCGGGAGTCTCCTCCAGCTTTGCCCTGAGAGTAGAGCCTGCGGCCCATGCGAGGGCTGGATGGCACACTAGCTGCTCCACTTTTGACCCTGGGAGAACGAGGTAGGGGCTGCCCGTAGGAGGAGAGCAGAGAGCTTCCATCTGCTGCATTAGAAAGGAGCAGACTGTCTTGTGACTGGTGGCGAGAGTGGGAATGGCGAAGCAAGCCGTTTGTGCTCAGCTGGCGTTCACCTTGACGTGGTGATGGAGGCACGCTGCTGCTGGTCATGTAGGAGAACGTTCTGGAGGCAGATGGAGGCCTTTCGGTATTGCTGAGGACTGACAGTGGCCTGGTGGACTGGGATCCAACAGGAGAAGGCACGCTGAGGTACTTGCGGCTGCACTCAGCTGCCCTCAAGCTGGCCTCCAGAGCACTCTTCCTGCGCTGCAGCGTCTCCATCAGTTCCTGTAGCTCTGCCTTGGAGCGGGAGCCCCTCAGCAACGTCCCACCCACTGAGCCACTGCTGTGCTCAATCTTCACACAGTCTGAAAGAAAGAGAAAGTTGTCAGAGCATTAAATCCTGCCTCTTTTTGGACTATAAGTAAGAGAGTCAGGTTTAATGTGACCTCTTTAGTAAGCACCAGCTCAGCTAAGAGTCGTGCTATCACACTTGTGCTGAGTGAGGGGAGGGGAGGGGAGGGGAGGGGGGGCAGTGAAGAATGTACACTCATACAGTTCTGTGCCCAATATAAACATTGGCTCAATCAGTGGTTAAGCTTCTTCTAAAAATGGAAGAATGCTGGTGGACCAAGACAAGCCAGAATGCATCATAGTCTCGACTGCAAGAGAAATCCTAAGGACACCTTCCACTACGGCCCAGATATCTCAGCCAGCAGTGTGAGGACGGTGCCCTGAGTCATGAGTAGCTGGACACTGGATAAACATATAATTACAGAGATTATGTGATATTAAAGAATGCCTTCCTCCTGTGTTATACATTAACTCTGGGCCTTCAAAATGGATGTAATGTACGTAAAAGTTTCCTCAAAACTTGGATTATTAAGATCTTTTAAATTTGTGACAATGATTTAAACTTTTTGTCGAAGATCATAAGGGAATAAAGCTGGCATCTTCCTCTGTCTGTAAATAAATAGCTCTGGCATGCTCTTCAGTTTGAGCTAAAATCAGCATTTTGTGTTTTTTCAGCTGATCATGGTTGAAAATATAAGCCAGCAAGAGATATGTTTGACTAAAACCCAGAAGCCCTTAATGTCTTGAACACAGACTGATGCAAAAGGAGCTGTTCCAGGTTTGGGGTTAGGAAAAGTTATCCAGATAACTGGAGCACTTAACTAATACAGACGACTAAAATAAACTGCAGATTACTGAGATTTGACCCAATTAAAGTGATCAGTATCAAGGATTCATCTCAACATCACTCACAAAAACATATCTTGAATGTTGTCTTACCAGAGTTGTAGCCCAGAGTGGCGACAGCACTCCTTTGAGGAAGCATGCTGTTCATTACACTGACCTCCTTTCTCTGATTCAGTCTGAGGATGTAGGATTCAGCTGGGCCCTATGTGCTGTGTTCCCTGAGAAGAAGAAATCAATATGAAACCCACAAACAGGAAAAAGACAGTAAAAAAAAATACTGATATGAAACAGATTCATCCTAATATATAAAAATCTGTTCAACTTTCCTTCCCTACACCCTGCTCTAGTATTCTTGTAGCCTCATACAGTAGCATCTTTCAATATAGAAACAAACGATTTAAAGAACATCACAGGAAGTTGAATCCAAGCCTTGTGGTCCCCCCCAACTTATTCTCTAAAAACTCTACAACAATACCTCAATTCAAGCAGATATTTCAGATGTGCATATTTAAACGGAAAGAAAAAAAAAGAAAGAACTTTCCTCAAGACTAAGTAGGAAAACAGATCTGGAGGAAACTTTTTATGCCTGGCTCAGTGTTACCAATAAAAACCGAGTCTGAAAATCAGCACTCTGCAACCCACTCTGCGCCTTAATTGATCTTTTAGCCCCAAACCCATGACCAGTCCTCAAAAGTATTCCCTCAAGGCTCCAGACTCACTGAGACAGCAGCCAAAGGTAGAGGTTCAGGCTGCATTAATGTGGACTGCTTGAGGACCTTAGGGTTCCTGCAGCCCATGCTGAAATCATTAGTCCATTGACTGAAAATCTAATACAATTTGAAACAATTCCGCTAAACATTTTTCACATTTATTGAGTAAAAATACCAAATATTTGAGATTATGGCTTCCTTTTCACAATTTCACATCATTATGAATAAAATACTATTTATATATTATGGGCCATGGTGACTTTAGAATGACATTATAGCCTAATTGTTGATGACTATTACTACTAATCAAACCCCAAATTGAGTGACCAAGAGCACAAAAATAAAATTGTTCTGAATGAAAATAAAAGAAATAAATACATCAAATTAAATTAAGAAATACATCTTCAGGCCTCCACAACCCAGGTCATAACTCAGAAAGATCAAACTGAGCAAGGATATTCTTGGTTCCAGTGATACAATGGAGGGATTTTGAAAGTCAGACGGTACAGTTTCATGAATCCACAGACAGCACACACACACACACACACACACACACCGCAGAGAAAGACAGAGATGGCCGATCCAAGGTTTTCTGGTCCTGCTGTCTGGAGAGAAGGCCTACAGGAAGTAGGGTATCCTTTTACACAGTCACACAATCAATCAGCATGAGTTCATTCTCCGGACCTCCTGAAAAAATGGGGAAAAAAACCCAGCCTCTTGTCAGGAGCAAGAGTTTTTACTGCATCAGCCTACAGGCAAGCAGGGTAGTGAAGAGCATAAACACAAAGATATGTAAACAGTTTGAGGAATGGCGTCTGATAAGATGTTTTTCATAAACGCTTTCACATTGCATTCTATCGATCAACTGATCAGTTTACCGACTAATCATTTCAGCTCTAAACTCAATGCACTGCTATTACAATTTTCTGATTCAACATCAGGTATTAAAAACTCATATGCATTCACACACATACTGTATTCACACAAACACACACATTGGGATGCAGTCAACAGTTTGAAAACTTCCTGATAACCGCCGCTGGCTGTCATCCACTTTTCTTTTAGATGGTTGTGTCATTTTCCAGCAATGTTATGTCAGTGGAGACAATCGTTGTGTGTTAACAAACACCATTTAACCTCTTAAGCCAGATAAAAGCTCAAAAGTCATTACTCTGACTTTTTGGACATTTCTTATGCAACATAGACACATTCACATCTGCCTGAGTCAAGTCATTTTTCCTGCATTTTTGTAATTACATGCATATGTTAACAGCTCTACATTTGGCAACAGCTGGACATGCAGTAGGATGTGATAAACAACTTTAAAAAAATGGGAAGTCTAACATAGTCATGTAAAATAGACATGTGATTTTCCCAGACCATCATTGGTCGTATCATCCACATTGATGAGCTGACTGAAAAGAAAAACTAACCTTTGTTTTCTGTCCCATTCACATAGTTGCACTGGGTTTTTTGGTGTGTCTGTTGTTGCTGAAGCTGAAGTCCTCTCCCTCCTCTCTGAGGGTATGAAACAGCAGAGTAAAGTCTTCCCATGACAAAGGATCAGACAGGAGACCCTCTCCCCTCCTCTCCGTCAGCTCTCTGCTCAGACTCTCCTCCCCAAGAGAGAGAGAGAGAGAGAGAGAGGTGGGGTGGTGGGGTGGGGGGGAGAGTGTGTGTTTACTTTTCATCCTCAGGCTCTGTTGCTGCCCCTCTCTGGTTAGATAGAGAATTTTTCTTCTGTAGAGAAGCAAAGGAGCAAAACGGACAAAAGGGGTGAGCGAAGGCAGCATTATTACTCTAATTAGTTTTAATTGAGTACTTTAAAGGAATTAGTATAATCCTTGTGTCTCTAGCTGATTTTGACCTCTGACCTCACTCACAATGATCAATAGGCTCCAGTATCATGTTATCATTATGTTATATTCCAACATGGAGACACTGGGTCTAAGTCTAAAGTCTAATCTCCTTCTTTAAACCTTTATAGACTGTGCTGTCTGCACTACACATTTTATTTAAAATGGCAACAGTTTTCTTGCTGTCTGGCCAGTTTGATCACAAAAAAACAAACAACTAAAGTCTTCCCAGTTTTCACACAAAGAAGTCCCACCATGTGTGTTTTTAGTGGTAGAAAAGGCAAGAGTAGGTAAATACTTGACTCTTAGACTGTTGTTTCAGCAGTATGTGGAGGCGGGAGGAGGCCCCATCGCTGTGTTTGAAACACAGCCAACCTCACTCCCCCTCTTAACTGTGCAGGCAAAGAGTAAAAAACCCCTTACAGTCAGAGACATTACACATACTTTATCATGGAGCTAATGCTCTGATCATTCTTTGATCTAATAGATTTATTTTTAAAAACTGATAGTATGTGGATATAAAACAAGTGAATAAAACATAGAGGCTAAAGCAGCAAGATCAGAGAAGAATGAATGAAACATTACTTTGGAAAAACCCCCTGAATCCCACCGAAAATCTTAAACCATCCCGCAAAAAAAACTCCAATTACATCATAGGGAGGGGGCTGCGGAGTGCAGGCTGGACGGGATGATTGCTTCCAGACACGGAGCCGGGGTCTTTGTCATAAAAACACACACATGCAATAACACACAAGTCTGTCTGCCTTGCTCTCTCTTTCGTTCTTTACAATTTCAGGAAAATAAAATGACACATATAAATCTCAAGAGGGTCTCATTTGAAAACTGGGACCCTTTAAATTTATTGCCAACACAGAAAGTTAATTGTCACTGAGCTGTGGAATGTTATTCCACTTCCTGTCCAAATTAGGTTTTAAAAAAAATAGGTAAGATTTTAAAGAAACCACACACAACATTTGCTGCAAACTACTGCGTGTGTATATGTACTTTCTAAACTATACTGAAACCATGTGTGGAGTGATTCTGAGTGGAGGCTATGGAAAAAGTAGGGAAAAGGGGAGAGCGATGGAAGAAAAATTAGTGTCAGATTGTGGGAGTCGGTGCATGATCAACTCTGGTAATTGTCGGGAGGTCTGAGTCACAGCGTGAGAAGTCTCAAGTGTCTCAACCAATCAAAACAGGCCATAGTCATTAGGTGATTTTTTGGTGTTAAATGTGGATCTGTTAAGTTTGTTTTCTTTGGCTTTTTTGACTCATCTTTAATTTTGTTAACTGACTTTCCTTTAAAGAAAAGAAAAACTTTCTCACCTACACTGTAATGCTTCGGCCCAGTGGCACAAAGTTTAACCCCCTAAAAGAAAGAATTGTACACTTCCTGTGTCCACTAATGACAAAATGAGCAATTTAATGGATCACCCCACAGTTTATTTCTATAAAGAAAACTTAATTAGCAGGATGTTGGCTTCAATATGTATTTACACATCACATCTGTTTGCAGGCTATTTTTTAGATTACCTAGATTAGATTATCTAGATGACCAAATTCAGTTTAATTTGAAAATTGCCTTAAAGTCCACTCGAATACCACAAAACAAGATGATTGAGTCTTGGTTATGTCACTGAGCCTGTAATTGTATGGCTGTGGTGTAATGTAGGCTGACATCTTTGAGCCGTGTCATGTTTGTACAGACATCATGTCCCTATCTGTAGTGACAATTTGTCCATCGTCCGCAGACCTTTTGTGGTTGTCTTGTGGGTTATTTAACCTTGGCAAGTAATCAAACAATAGACAAAAAAATCATGTTGTCTCTGTCACTCTGGCAAATAACCCCCCCCCCTCCCCCAGGTCCATTCTGGTCTTATACCTGACTGCCTATATAAAAACTTCAGTTCTTACAAAACAAAACAAAATAAACTGAACAAAACAACATAAATAATTTAAATCAAATACTCAAAACAAATTATAAATTGCTTCTACAATATCATCAGATGGTCAAAAATATTATAAACTGAGTTTCCCAGCACACATTGTGATACCATTATTGCTGCAATTTGTGACACACCTAACACAGGTGTAACTAATAAGATGATTCTGAAGATACAGAAAAGGTTGCAATAAGTTTCTGTTTATTTTAAAGGCAGGACAGCAAGCTCACACTCTAATAGACTAATAGTGTTTTATGGTATACAATACAGCTACTGTATACTGACGATGATGTTCTTTGTTGAAAGTAGTTCGATGTTTCCAAATCCACTGGATTGAAGTCCATCATTTCCGTCCACAGGTAGTCCTACTGCTTTTTCTTGTTCTATTTTAGTACCTGCGGGTAAGGCCACAGTACAGTCCTCTGCTGTGTTTGACGTACTGCCTGTCAGTTCATCCTGCGCTTCAAACTGCAGTTCTAGTCTGTTGCATTCAACTCCATGTTGTCCGATTATGTATGAAGCTGTGGTGTTCAGATCTTTGCGAAGTCCACCCTCAACAAAACCTGCTCCATTGTATCTGTGTGAGGCAGTTCTGGTCTCCTTTGCTGTACCAGTAAGAGAAAATCAAAATGAGTTATTCAACAGTAGAAAGACACAGATATGCATGAATGTATCAATATTGAAACACAAGTTGGCGCTGTTGATTTATTGTCATTGCTTCCACTAATATGGCTCATTTATTAGTTAATTAGGATCATATCTCAATACTGCTTCAATAAATGCTACTTTTACTATTTTTTCATCACAAACGCTACCTTACTGATTTAATATCACATACCTCTTTGCCTTACACACTGAGGAAGAGCTACGATGATGGTGAACAAGAAAAAAGCTGCAGAAGCTGCAGTGCTCCACCATGACCTCTTCACACTCTGCTCATCCACACCTGCAGAGCAAACATTTCATAAACATTACTTTTAGTGAATGGTTTCTATTTTACTTCCTGAGTTAAGAGCGTTGACAGTAGAGTTCACATCGCCCCAGAAACAGGATAATTTAATACTCACTTATTGGTGAAACAGTGATGTTTACTTTGGTCTGAACAATGTGTTTGCTCTGCAGGCCTGAGAAGGTGCAAGTATATGTCCCAGAGTGTTCCTCGGTGTCTGGCTTGTGAAGCAGAAGAGATCCGTCTCCCAGGAAAAGCATGTCCTGGTCCAGTTCAGCTTGGCCCTCCCACAGGTTAAAGGTGTGTTTGGTTTTGGTGTCATATCTCAAGATGACCGTGGGCTCACTGGATGAGGTGAAGGTCCAGGTGAGGGAGAAATTCTGAAGACTGTGCAGGGTGATGCATGGGATGGACAGTGCGTCACCCTCTCCATGTGTTATACCCTCTGAAAGATATTACACATAAACCTGTTTGCTTTTATTTGTCAGAAATCATTAACTTTATGAATCATATGTAACCAAAACTCACCGTGTTTTTTCCAAGATGCAGTCCACACCTGGGTCTTGTCAGCTGATATAAAAGAGCAGAAGTAGGTATAGTTGGACAGACTATCCAGAATCCTCAGCGTGCTCGCCACAGTGAACAGACCCTTGTGGTCTGTGGTTTTGATGGTTGAATTTTCTAGAGCTTCTTGGGCAGAGGGGGGGTCTGTGGCCCATGTCACCTGAGGAACTGGGTAGATGTTGTGAGAGGAGCATGTGACCATCTCATCAGACATCTCAATGATCACTGACTGGATGAGAGCTAGAATGAAAACGTACAAAACAATAACATGTAAGCATCTAAAGGTCCAGTGTGTAGGATTTGCATCTAGCAGTGTGGTTGTGGATTGCAACTCCCTCGCTTCACTCTCCCCTTCCAAGCACGAAGGAGAAACGACCATGGCAGAGAAATGTGCACAAAGCGTGAATAGCACCTAACTAGAGTCTGTGTGTCCCTTCTGGGCTACTGTAGAAACATGGCAGTTCTACAGGCGGCCTGCGACGTCTGTAGATATAAAAAGCTCATTCTAAGGTAACGAAAACACAACAATTCTTAATTTCAAGTGATTATACATGAATGAAAACATATTATATATATATATATTATATCTGCATATTATATTGCATTTGTAGGAATAGATCCACCTAAATGTTACACACTGAACTTTTAATGGAAATAAACAACTGACACTTATTCTCATGAATGCTTCTCCCACTACCACACAGTGATATGAACCTTATCTCAGTGCATTTACTGTAAACTACAGTGTGCTGCTTCTCTCTTTCAAAAAAATCTCTGGTGTTTTTCTGCTGCTCTTCAAAGCCTCACAAAGGCAAAATGCACGTAAAAACATACATATTAAGTCAAAACTGAGTTAACCCTGAGTAACCCATGTCTGACTTTCTTTTTTACTATTTGTTTCACTATGTTTATTTATTGATTTTCCCCAAATTATTATCTGCAATAAAATAAATCTCCATATCCATTTTGATGAACTGACATTTTGGTTATTCATTTTGTTATTCCACATTATTAATTAAGGCAGAAGCTATAATTAATGATATAGAAGACAAAAACAATAAATTAAACTAAATTAAACTAAAGTAGCTTGCATAACAGATCTCAGCTACCAATTTATTGTATTAAATTGTAAATAATGTATTATATTGATTTCAATATAAATATCAATAGTACTTGAACAGATAGAAGCCAAAAATATAACAATTGCTTCCTATAAGCTATTAACTATAAATGACAATCTCTTATCTTAAACTTAAACAAACTAGATAAAATGGATAAAGAGTGTTGGTAGATACTGCA